TTATACCTGAGTAGTTTTGAAATTTAGAGAATTAGCCAAAATAAGTAAGCAAAAGTAATCTATGCTTTCCACTACTTAAAAATAGCAAGTGCTTGAGCTTTGTCTTTTACCAGTATTTTCTTCTGTGCTTATAAATATGTAATCACAATTACATAGCTATAGAGAACATTTTTAAAAAATAAAATGTGTGGACTTCCCTGGTGGCCCAGGAGCTAAGATTATACTTTCACTGCTGGGGTCTAGGTTCAGTCCCTGGTTGGGGAACTAAGATCCCACAAGCTACATGGCATGGCCAAAAACAAAAATATGATTATACTTTGCATGTTGCTTTATAACATGCCTTTTCACTTAATAATAATATAGGATATGGAACAAACTGGATGTTACATAGTTCGTTTAACTAACCCCCATTCCTATTTATGCTATTTAAAACATTTTGGTGATTTTAACAAATAACTTAAACTTTTTTATTATTTAACATTTGCTGCATTCATAAGAGTATGTGTAATAGAGGGGACTTTCCTGGCAGTCCACTGGTTAAGAATCTGCCCGTCAATGCAAGGGATATCGGTTTGATCCCTAGTCCAGGAAGATCCCACACGTCTTGGAGCAAGTAAGCCTGTGTGCCACAACTACTGAGCCTGTGCTCTAGAGCCCATTCTCCACAATAAGAGAATCGAAGTCATGGCAATGAGAAGCCTGAGCACCACAGCTAGAGAGTAGCTCCTGCTCACCACAACTAGAGAAAGCCAATGTAGCAATGAAGACTTATCACAGCCAAAAAAAAAAAAAAAGGAATATATATATAATGGAAGTTTCGACCCCCACCCCAGTGAGATCTCATCTCTGACACTTGCTGTGTGCTTCTCCCTACCCCATGTCCCCCACCACAGAGGATTTGTGGTGTGCGCTTCCACTGCAGTCAAAGTGGAACACTAGCAGCTGTGTTCCCGAATGAAAAGTTCACAGAAGAAATCCCCCAGACAGTGGCTGGGAGAAAGCGGCGGAGTCCTGGATGAGCCACCCTCCCAGGTCTGGGTCCAGGCAATTAACCCTCTGGAATGTGCTTACAGCTGCAAAGAGCAGGAGATGAATGGCCAGCTAAAAAATCTACAAATAATAAATGCTGGAGGCTGTGTGGAGGAAAGGGAACCCTCCTACACTGTTGGTGGGAATGTAAATTGGTATAGCCACTATGTAGAGAAGTATGGTGGTTCCTCAAAAAACTAGAAATAGAGCCCCTATGTCCCAGGAATCCCACTCTTGGATAACTGGAGAAAACCATAATTCAAAAAGATACAAATACCCCAATGTTTATTGCAGCACTGTTTATAATAGCCCAGGACATGGAAGCAACCTAAATGTCCATCAACAGAGGAATGGATAAAGAAGATGTGGTACATATACAGTGGAATATTACTCAGCCATAAAAAATAATTAAATAATGCCATTTGCAGCATCATGGATGGACCTAGCGATTGTCATCAAGTGTTCAGTAAGTCAGACAGAGAAAGACAAATATATGCTATCATTTGTATGTGGAATCTTAAAAAGTAGATCAAACGAACTTATTTATAAAATAGAGTCACAGATGTAAAAAACAAACATGGTTATTAAAGGGGGGAGGGATAAACTAGGAGATTGGGATTGACATATATACAGTACTATACATAAGATGGGGCTTCCCAGGTGGTTCAGCAGGTAAAGAATACGCCTGCCAATGCAGAAGATGCAGGACACTCGGGTTGGATCCCTGGGTCGGGAAGATCCCCTGTAATAGGAGATGACAACCGACTCTACTATTCTTGCCTGGAGAATTCCATGGACAGAAGAGCCTAGAGGGCTACAGTCCATGGGGTTGCAGAGTCGGACATGACTGAGGACCCATGCATTATATATAAAACAGATAATCAACAAGGACATACTGCATAGCACAGGGAACTATACTCAATACTCCGTAATGACCTACATGGAAAAGAATCTAAAAAAGAGTGGATATATGTATATGTATAACTGAATCACTTTGCTGTACAGCAGAAACTAACAACATTGTAAAATAACTATATACCAATAAAAAGTTAATATAAAGGAAAGAAAGGAAGAGCAGGAGACAGAGAGAGGGGAGTGGCTTACATTCATCAGGGCCAGAGTTTGGTACTCATTTTCCCAGAGCAATAATGGATCACAAAGCAGCAGCCCTTGTGTGGCTGGTGTATGTGCTGATGACTCTTCCTGGGAGGTCCAAGGAGAAGTCTATTGACTGTGTAAACCACATTAATAATTATTGCTGGTACTCATGCAGGACTCCTGTGGAATTCACAAATAGCTCGTTGCCCCATTGTATTAATAGATGTTGGGAATGGAAGACACCCTGATGGGGGCAGGGGTAGAGGACTCACCCCAGGGGCCACTCACTCCTGTGGAGCTTCGTTTCTAAATGAGGGTGACCATGATGTGAAGCTATAGTGGTCCCCATGCTTCTCGGTCAACACCTGCTGATCCGGGGGCCACTACTGCAGGATCGCCAATCCTGGCTGTCACCAGGTCAATATGCTTTCCTCCTGGAAGGCCCTAGGAGTGGTGCTAATGGCAGAAAGTTCCCCAGAAGACAGAAGAGGCTTGACTTGGGGGGCTGCTTGAGCCACCCATGTGCTTGGAATAAGTTGCACAGTCTAGCCTGCACCTCAAGGCCCTCTGCCTTGAGCTCAACTCAGCAAAGGCCAGTCCACACCCCATCAGGATTGCCAAGGCCACGAGGAGATAGTTTCGGATTTTCCCCGAAATACACTGTGTCCTCATTTTGCCTCCCAATCAGATTCCCCTGCAGAATGCAGATCTCTACCTGGCAGTCCTGGCAGATTCTGCCTATGCTGGGAAACCCCCTCCCCCTGCCAGTGGGGTGCTACTGCAGGCCAGTGCCAGGAGATGGGAAATGCTTGGCCAGCCTCTGTTCTCCCAGTCAACACTCCCTCCACCAGACACACCCCCCACCTACTCAAAGACCGCTCTCTGGTCAACCCCCTGCAGGCCAGAGATCCGCTGCAGGCCAGGCTGGGTGCCCCCAGTATTTGGTTGGGTGAGATGGGTCTGTCCCAGTCCGGAGTGGCACATGCAGTAGGCTCAGCTGTGGTCACATTCTTGCTGACATCCTGTTGGCCTGCTGGTGCTAGAATTCTCACTCTGGTAACCAAGTCATTGCCCAGTGCACACCTATGTCACACTTCCCCCACACCCTCAGCACTGCACCTGACTGCCTTCAGTTTGATCTTTCACCTGATAAAAATGCAGAGGGAGTGGGACCCAGTGCTGAGGTCCTATCTGTATAGCCCCTTCCCCCATGGTTGATGTGCTGTGTTTGTGGACACAGGCTAGTACATTTACTTTTCAAGCAACTGGGAAAACCTATTGTTTTTTGTTTTTTTCCCTTCTTCACCACTGGAGGCCTCTTGGGGGTCTCCAGGGATCCCAGGTTTCTGAGATGGGGGTTATCTGAATGCCAGACCCTGTTTGGAAAGGACCGATGTCACAACCTATGGCTGCTTTTTTCCCATCGATATTTTTGAAGCTTTCAGGCTCTTAGCACATGATTATTTACGTAAGTGGCTCCATCTTGCTTGCTGCTGTCTGGGGAGTTGTGAGCAACCAGGAACTGTCTCCGTAAGGCACAACCACAGCCGTTCAGGGAACATGTTCCCTCCCACAGAGACTGGGCTCCAGAAAGACTTTTGTTTGAAAACGTGTACATGTTTTCCTGACAGTTCAGTGTATGGGGGTGGGGGGAGGGGGCTTCCCTCCCCACCCCTCCTCCTCCTCTATGACACAGAAAACAAGCTGTCATCAGGAAACGACTGGTGAGTATGGATGGAGCTTTAGGAAAAGGCATCTTTGGTCACCTGCAAGGCCTTCCTTTGTTATTGCTACTTTATGTTTGTTCATGGTTTGCATGTAGCCTATGGAGAACAAGAGGTGATCTCGGAAGAGCCCCAGTTCTGGGTCTGTGCCTGGTGGGCTGTGACCGTGGGTTGGAAGCACAACTGTGGTCCAGGACCCTCCCCCGCTCCTGCCTGGCACGGACCAGCCCTGCTGCAGGGAGCAGCTGGGCAGTTCATGACTGCAGATTCAAGTGGGCTCTGGCATCAACTGGGCATCAGGGCTTCCCTGATAGCTCAGTTAGTGAAGAATTCACTTGCAATGCAGGAGACCCTGGTTCGATTCCTGGGTCAGGAAGATCCCCTGGAGAAGGGATAGGCTACCCCCTCCAGTATTCTGGCATGAATTCCCTGGGGTCGCCAAGAATTGGACACGACTAAGCGACTTTCACTGGCATCAACAGACATCACCTTGCACCCCATATTCCGGGATCCCTGGCCCTGTCCCCATGGTCCTAGGCTGGCCCCCTTCGTGTACTTCAGGGTCGGCTTCCAGGCTGACCTAGGGGCCGAGCTGGCTGCATACAGAGCATTTTCTGGAACAAGCACTACATCCTGCAACAGGAACCTGCCTTCTCAGAGCTCCTGGGGACTGGATTGGTGAGGCTGAGCTTTCTGGGGTGTGAGGAAGGTGATGAGCCAAGGGCATCAGGGCAGTGGGCCACCAGAACAATCTGTGCTTGTTGTTCAGTCACTCAGTTGTGTCTGACTCTGTGACACTATGGATTGCAGCACACCAGCCTTTCCTGTCCTTGACCATCTCCCGGAGTTTGCTCAAATTAATGTCCATTGAGTTGGTGATGCCATCCAACCATCTCATCCTCTGTTGCCCCCTTCTCTTGGTTTCAATCTTTCCCAGTGTTAGAGTCTTTCCCAATGAGTCGGCTCTTCGCATCAGGTAGCCAAAGTACTCGTCCCCTGCAAAGCCGTTTCCCCCTCCCCCATGTAAAGCCTGCCAGTTCTGAGCTGGTGTCTACTCCTTGGGCCAGTTATATCCAACTTCTTAAACTGGGCCATTTCGGTTCCCTCCCCTTCCAGGGCCTTGCCCATCAAAGAAGCAGTTCTGGCAAATAATGAATCATAAATTTTATTTCAAAATGTAAACGTCACTAAACATGCATACACGTTAAAACAATAAAATTTACAGTTTCGTTAATTTTTTTTTCTTTTTGCATAGGACATCATTACAATATAGAATCTATGCCTTACAAAATACATACAAAGTTTTATCCGAGCAAGCCAAGGCCAGATTGGGAACTGTACAACTGTAATACTTCACTGTAGTGATCCGGGAAAGACGAGACGTGGCCTTCGGAAGCATGGTGTGGTGCTGGTTAAAAAAACAAAACAAAACAAAACCAAAAGTTCCTACATAAAAGAAAAGTGTGCTCGATGGAAATGGTCTTGGACCCTTGGAGTCTACCGTGGGGTTTGGCAAACAATCCCAGAGAAACTCCATCAATGGCTTTGGGAAGAGGGGCCGTCTGTGAAGTCCAGGGTGGCTGAGACCCCTAGTATACCCAGCACAGAGATTCCCAGGCGGATTCCTGGCCTGTGGGAGCCATAATGGCCCTGCCCCCAACAATGCACAGCTGCTCAGCTACCCTCCAGCCCTCAGGGTCCTTGGTGCTTGCCACAGGGACGTTCCAAGGTGAGCCTCCTGCCCACACGCCCACAGCCAGGCACCCTGACCCAGGAATGGACCCTGGGAGGTGGCCCCCTGCTCCAGGGATGGCAGGCTGGCCTGGGACAGGCGCTCCTGGGCTGAGTAGGGGAGACAGCCTTCACCCAGACCTCTGGTTGCCTAGCAGGCATTTGGCTTGGTTTCCAAACAAACATGTGCAGCAGCCTGTCATCATATCACCAGGAAGACATCCTGGAGCCCTGGGAGAAGGCTGCTCATGCACCCCTCCCCTGCCCCCCCATGTCTTCTGTGTCCCCCATAGGGAATGCAAGGTGTTCAGGGCAGGGGAAGCAACTTGCTCTCATCCGTTCCTCTTTAAATAAAAGTAAATTTAAAGCTGCACGAGAAGGGGAGAGGCTGGGCGGGGCCAGGGGGGCACACTGCAAGTCCCATATGGCAAGAAGGGTTCAGTAGAAACCAAGTACAGCCCTGGGCTACTGCCTCCCACCACATCCAACTCTTCTAACTGATGAGACAGAGTAGTGGGCGGGAGGAAGGGCTTCTCCCTGAACAGTGTTCAGGCATTTATCAGTAGTAAGCTGGACTGTGCATCTGAGTTCTGATACAAAATTCTCTGGAATGTGTCTGGGACAAACCTTTGAAGCTCAAGTCTTGGAGTCAGGAGAATCAGTTACAGGACCTGGCTTTCCCCAGGGCAATCCTGAATTCAAGAAAAGTCTCGGCCTACACCCTTGGTTTTAGCTTTGGAAGATAAATGGTCACCAGAATTGAATGTGGGATCTTTGGACAGCAAAGATGTGGGTGACCTGCAGAGTATTTCTTACTGGCTGCAGTGTGACCAACCCATCAGTCTTCAAACCCTTCAGCACTGAGTCTTTGAATGACTTTGTAAAAGGGTTAAGAAAATTAAAAAAAAAAAGTGACAGCTGTTAGAAGAAAAAAAAATCAGGTAGCCTTGTAAACACAGCTGAAACCAGGAGATGAGCATCAAGGGGACGCTATTGCTCAGGTCATGCTTCCCTGCTGGGTGGTCCTTCGCTCGCTCGCTGAGCTCAAGGAGCGAGTCCCTTGGGGCGCTCTGACCCTGCAGCCATCTTAGCCCTGCTTCTGGCAAGAAAAGCGGCTGGATTTTCTGGGGACAGTGGGCTGGAGGGCAGGAGACTTGAATAGAGACCCCGCTTCTGCCGCACTTCACTTGGACCCCAGAAAGCCGCCAGCCCTGTCCGTATGTCCCAACAAATGGCTGGGGGGCACTGGTGGCCTGCTGTCTGTCCCTGCCTCTAAGTTACCTCCCACCCTGCTACCCTGGTCTAAGCTGTGACCAAGAGCATGGGGAGGTCTGGAGACCCCAGTGCAGCTGCTGAAATGTGCACCTGGAGGCCGCACCCTGGCAAATCCTGCACCTGCCCGGATGCCTGGCCTCAGTAAAGCGGTCGCCCTGCACCTTCAGTATGGTGCATGGGCTGCAGCAGGCTGCAAGGTGGGCACCCACAGGGTCACATCCCCACACAGCACCCCATGGCCTGCTGTGGAAGGGGCTCATCTTTCCTCATGGCTATAGAACAGGGTAGGCGTTTAGCGTGCTGACAACCCTAATATGGCTGACGCTGAGGGCTTCCTTGTTTGGGACAAGGGCCAAACACCAGCCCCCAGGTTGAGCCCAGGGTCGCCTGTAGGCCTTCTTGGAGGGGAACCTCTCCCTTCACTCAGGCAACCTTCATTTTGAGATCTCTGCCCCCTTGGCCTACAAGAACTAGTCAGCACACAATAAAGGTTGGAGTTTTCACTACTGTTTCTAGAAGTTGTCACACTGAAGTCAGCAAGCATGACCATAAACCAGAAAAATCAAAGACCCTGAAACAGACCTGGGCCGGGAAGACATTCTACTTAGAAAAAAAATGCAGGCTGTTCAGCAGGGTCCTCCACCCACCCCCACCACCATGCAACCACTTCCCATGGGGGTCTGAGCGAGGGAGGGCCTGCACTCTCTCCTTCCATATGTCATGATGATGAGATGCTAGCAAAAGCCCATTTGAACCTAGCCTGAGATGCATGGATTTCCCCCACCCTTCAAGTGAGATGAATTTTAGCCTCAGGTGAGCCAGGATGGCCTGCTGGCTGGAGCTCCAGGCCGAGTGCTCTGGGTACCAGCCAGTTCTCTCCAGATGCCCGAAGGCAGAGAAGCAGGAGCCCGTGTCCTGGGCCAGGCCCACTTCAGAAGGTCCGCACCCTGCCATTAGACCAAAACTGCTTTGGGAACGAGGACACACTCATCTGCCAAAAATAGCCCGCGCCTGCATATTTCTGTTTTAAGGCAATGTTACCCTTCCATCTAGCAGACGGAACAGCCCTGGGTCACTTAGAGGAAAAATTAAATTAAGTGCTCTCTTTGGGAACAGCAAACGCCCGCTTTCCCTCCCTCCCCCACCCCCCCCAAAACAAACCAGCTCTTCTTTTATTCCAAGATGACTGGGTTTAGAGTCCTTTCCCCTCTTCCTATGTGCAGAGAGACGTGGGCTCTGAAACCCTCTTTCCTCGGCAATGCCACAGCCAGGTCGCGAGGAGACACCAGGCTCCCGCGGGGCACGTGGCCCCCCTCCCTGACTTTGGGGACCGCGTGGGCAGTGAGCGCACCAAAGGACTTTGGAATAAAATTCCTGAACCTGGAATGTGAGTTCCTGAGACATGAAATGTATTCAGAGTGTGGCTTTCTCGGCCCCACACAGAAACGGCCTTGGGAGGGAACTCCGAGGGCCCTGCCAGCCTCACCTGGGGACTGGGCATGAAAAGCTCTCACCCCTGGTGCTCAGGGCACTGCTCTGTCCAGGTGTCCAGCACATTCTGTTCTCTGTCCTGGACCAAATGCGAGCAGGGCTGCCACCCAGCCCCAACAGAGGTCAGGGTGAGGCCTCACCCCCATGCCGCTTCTGCCCGGTTCCCATGCATAGCAAGAGCGATGCACCTGCCCACCTCGTACCTGCCATGCTCTCAGAAGCCACTATCACACCACTGGCTGACCCCAGATGACACAGCAGAGTTAGAAATGGGCACCCGGAGCGCAGAGGATGGCAGCTGCTAAGGACATGGGGGCGCCCATGTGCTCTGGAGCCGCCCAGGGCCCATGAGCACCAGCTGGGGCTGGGTCTCGGGACCTCCTCCGTGCTGTACCCCTCATTGTGATCGGGTGGGGGCAGAAGCAAGATGGCCACAACCAAGGCACTCTGGGCTCAGGGAAGCCCCTCTATGGCCCTCTGAGGTCCCAAGGGTCATTCCTCCTCATCGAAATGAACAGAGGTCTCTGCAAGATACCCCAAGTCCTTCCCAAACCCACACCCCTGCCCCAACACACACACACATACACACACACACACATACACACACTGTCCTGGGGACTTGTATTTACAGGCCCTGACTCCCTGGAGGAAGGCCAGGGAGGTGCCTGGGCGGGGGCTGCCCCAGCTCTCCACAGGGGAGCATGCTGGAGCCTGCCTGACCCACCTGCCCGGGTCGGGGCTCCCGGAGAGATGTCCCCAGCTCTCTGCTCGGGAAGGCTGGCAATGGGGACCCTACACCCCAGTGCCCCAAGGCTGGGGGTGGGCTGGGGCCTCCCAGGTGGGAGGGGGAGACCAGGGAGGGAGGAGTCCAGGGGACACAGCTCACGGAGAAGCTGAGCGTTCGCTGAGTCTCAGCTGGGGACACGGTGGGTCTGAAAAAAAGCACTTCCCACAACTTCTGTACGGTGCTCCCCGGGGAGGAAAGAGAATGTATGTTCTCCGACTGCATTTCCCATAGCGTCCGCCTTGCTACCCCCCAAAGTTCCAAGTCACAATGTTCCGGTCTCTTGCTACCAAACAGTCTCTGTGGAGTGCTACGCACGGCCACTGCAGGCCACACGCACAGAGCCCCGCTTTACCCACCGTGTCAAACAAAGGCGTCTCATGAGCAGGGTCAGTCGGGGAAAATGTAGGAACTGGATGCACCGGTGACACCTTTGGACATCCTTGTAGAAGGCCAGTCAGAGGACGTGGTATAATTGTGGAAGGTCCTGGCGCCTTCTGCGGGGACACAGCATCACACAGCCGTGTGGACATCAGACGGTGCATCGGTCTGCCCAACCCAGGATTGCATCTCTGCTTCCAGCGCTTGAGAGGGACCTGGGCAGGGTCCCAGAGGTGAGGACTGTTCCCCTTGCCCATCACGGCTTGAAGTGTCCCTCAGAGTCCTCTGCATTCTTAGCCCACTGCCACTGGGGCGAGCCTGAGGCTGGGCAGGGGGCAGGAAGAGGGAGCCATGGGCCCTGCTCAGGGGTCTGCCCTAAAAGCACAAGGCTGGTGACCACCGCTCCATCTGCCGCCCGCGGGGAGCTCCACCTGCACTGCTCGGGCCCCCAGTGTGTGCCCAAACCTTAAAGGAAACTCCAGAGTGGAAATCTATGTACAGAATAAGGCGGCAAGAAGGGGGTGTCCTCACTGACCTCATGGAACATGTCCATCCCTGAGAAAGGGGGGGAGGGGGGAAGGCTCAACACCGCTGAATCTCACCTGCGTGGGTATGTCTCTTGTGCAATTGTGGATGGTGTTTTTTGGAATTTTTTTTCATTGTGGTTTTTTTGTTTTTTACAAATTTGACACCTGAGGTGAAGAAAATTGTTTTTTTGTTGTTGTTGTTGTCGTCGACTTCATAAAGTTCTCTCTCTTTTTTTCTTCTCTCTTCTTATTACAAAAGGAAAAGACACGGAATCACGAGAAGTGAGAGCATCTGCTCATGGCTGTGGTAAGGAGGCGGGGCCTCAGGGCGTGGCATGGCCTGGTGGGGCGTGGCTTGCCACAGGCCCCGCCCCGCGCGCAGGCGCTCAGGGCGAGCTGGCTGGGCTGATGGTGGGGCTGCTGGCGTCCGAGCGGCTGTAGTCGCTAAGCGAGCCGGTTCGCGAACCCCCGCCGCGCCGCTGCAGCATCCCGGGGTGGAAGTTGGCGTGGCGGCGCGCGTGCTTGGTCAGGTGGTCGCTGCGCATGAAGCGCTTGTCGCAGATGGGGCAGCTGAACTTCTTTTCCCCCGTGTGTGTGCGGTAGTGCCGCGCCAACTCGTCAGAGCGCGCGAACTTCTTGTTGCAGTCCTGCCAGCTGCAGGCGAAGGGGCGCTCTCCTGCGGGCGAGAGGGCTTAGGGTCAGTCTCAGCGCATACCCTAGGCTGCCCTGCCCTCCCTGCGCCCCTTCGTTGGCGTCCCATCTCCGCCAGCCTCCGTGTGGGCGCCAGCACCCTCCTGTCACTTCCCATCTGCTTCCATTCGACCCCTCCCGGGAGGAAATGACAAGATCCCAGGTGCTGTGGCCCCCTCAAGTGCGTGCCACCCAGCAGCCTGTGTTGGGTCAGCTGTGCCTGAGCGGCGGGAAGCACAGGCTGCTCCCTGGGCTCTTAAGAATGGGAGCTGGGATCGGTGAAGGCGCCAGAAGAGCTCGCAAGCCAGCAAGTTTGGCCACATCACCCTGACCCCACAGATCACCCTAACCCCACGGAAGCCCTAACTCCAGAGCCTCAAATCCTGCAGGATCTGCAGACAGTTTGCCGACCCCAGCACCCAGCCATTCAGACCCTCTGCAGTCTCCTCATCTGTATTATGAACAGGTCAGGACAGACAATTTTCTGGGACTAAGAGTCTGTTTATGGGCTTCCCAGGTGGTGCAGTGGTAAAGAGTCTGCCTGCCAATGCAGGAGATGCAAGAGATGCAGGTTAGATCCCTGGGTCAGGAAGATCCCTTGAAGGAGGAAATGACAACCCACTCCAGTATTCTTGTCTGGAACATTCCATGGACAGAGGAGCCTGGTAGGCTACAGTCCATGAGGCTGCAAGGAGTTGGACATGGCTGAGCATGCAGGCACTGGCCAAGAGTCTGTTTGACTGCAGCTCCAACTAGAGTCTGCTGCTGTTCCTCTCTGAGAAGTTCCAACATGGCTAACAGCAGAGAAGACTGGGGGTGACACCCAAGAGAGGAAGGTGAGGACAGCTTAGAGCAAGAGGCAGGCCAGCCTTCACCCAGGCAAACACAAAAAACATTAGCTGAACCACACACAAAAAAGACATTAGCTGCACGGGGAGAACCAACAGGGAATTCCTGCACCCTGGAGGGCAGCCTCTGGCACTGGGGGTGGCCAGAGTTCCCCTTCCTGCCGCGTTTCTCTCCCTCCCTCCCAGACTCTGGCCCTCAAGCTGAGAGCTGGTCTTTGAAGCCTGTCCATCAGGGCCCAGCAGAGGAAATCAATGCTGCCCACCCCCAATGAGGCCATCAACCTTAAACACAAACAGACACCCAAAGATGGTCAGGCAGCCAAGGAAAACCAGTGGCATGAAAGGGCAAGGCCAAGAGCAACAAAACTACTGACTCCAGAGGAAAAAGAGTGAAGCCAGGAAACAGAAGAAAATATTAACCTAAAAATTCTGACTAGCATTCTCAAGAAATTTCAGACAAAATTTTATGTGTAAACAGGATACCATAAAAAGGAAGTTCAGAGTACAGAGAATAAGTGTTTAAAAATTGAGAGTATTGTTGCCCAAACAAAACTCCCATAGAAAAACTAAAAACATACTCAAGGAAATATCCCAGGAAAACAGAAAAACAGAAACAGCTCTAAAAAATACGTGAATGTTGTGCTGTTCTCTGTCTCCTAGCAATGCTGAAGCTAAGAGCTCTGTATGGCTTGTATGCTCTCCTTACTGACTTTGTTTTGGGTAGAAGGGGGGCTCACAATCAAGCAGGCAAGCAAACCACTTCCCATCTGATAGTTACAAACAGCAGGAGGTCACAGTTCAGAGTCACAGGGAATTGATCCTGTGGGTGCAACATCTAACAGAAGACACTACTGAGTAAAAGAACAGAAAAAAATGGAGGAGAGGAAATTACCAAAGAAATAACAGAATAGGATCTGTCAGCTGATGCGAAGAGCCAACTCACTGGAAAACACCCTGGTGCTGGGAAAGACTGAGGGCAGGAGGAAAACGGGGCAACAGAGGATGCATCATCAACTCAACAGATGTGAGTTTGAGCAAACTCTGGGAGATGGTGAAGGACAGGGAAGCCTACTGTGCTGCAGTTCGTGGGGTTGTAAAGTGTCGGGCACTAATGAGCAACTGAATAACCGCAGCAATCTCTTACAGGAAAAAAAGGAGACAGGAAACTAACATGGAAAGGGTTAGCATAGAGGTGGGCGGAGTAGTGAATAAAGGCTCCTGCCAAGAGTATCTGCAATGTTAGAACACTAGAAGAGACTGCAGAACTTACTTGAGAGAAAAGGGAGAAGCAGGTCATCCAAGAGGGAAAGAGGCTGGAACTGACAGCAGCCGTCTTCTAAGCCACACTAGATGACAGAGCAACAGATCCTCCCAAGAGTACCTCTCACACACTAGCAAAAATAAGAAGAAAAGGAGAAGCCAGGGAAGTGAGTGAACAATGAAGGGTCATCTCTGGACAGGAGTGACAGAAGAGACCTGATGGGGCAGTGGAGCTGTGGACCAGGAATCACACAGGGAGGTTTACAAGAAAGGGAGTTCCACACACCAGAGTATAGTCAAGAGGCTGAATGAATTTTAGGATGCAGTGAAAGCACATAGTATTCTTTGGTTGAAAGAAAAAAGAGGCAATTAGAAACTCCAGGAAAAACAGAAGGCATGCAAGAAAATTGTCTAAATTAGAAGTAAACTAAAATGCCAAACGAGGGGACTTCCCTGGTGGTCTAGTGGTTAAGACTCAGTGCTTCCACTAGAGGGAATACAGGTTCAATCCCTGGTCAGGGAACTAAAATCCCACATGACACATGGCGAAAACGTTTTTAACTTAAAAAAAAAAAAAAAAGTTCAAATTCCATCCTAGCAGAATTACAGCATACAGTTGTTATAAAGTACTTGGAAAGGTCCAAAACAGGATATGGTGGTGTCCTTTCACAGGACCAGTGCTGAGCCTCAGCTCAGCCCCTCTTTCCACTGTGTACTGACTTAAGGCCTCAGACAAGTGCCTCACTGCCCACCATGGGGTAAAGAGTGGCCCCACCAAAGATATATCCAAGTCCTTACCCCTGGAAGATGGCAATGTGACCTTATTTCGGAAAAATGTCTTTCCAGATACGATAAGGTACAGATCATGGGAAGAGATCACAACGACTAAAAGAGAAGGAAAAGGACTCCAGAGAATGATGGGCCCATAAGCCAAGGGAGTCAGTATCTGGGGTGGCCACCAGACACAGGGGGAGAGAACTGACACTGCCAACACCTTGATTTCAGACTGCTGCTCTCCACAGTGAGAGAGCACACTTCTGCTGTGGGTGTTCAAGCTACCCAGTTTGTGGTAACTGGTTACAACAGCCACAGGAAATGAACACAGCGCCCCATCTTCATAGTGAGGTGGTGATTCTACAGGACTGCACTCAAGCAGCCCTCGGCACTGGGTCTGGTACATGCCGAGTGATGACTCCTGAGATGCTGTTGTCACTTTTATCTATTATTCTTATCAACTAGTCTTCTCAGATTTGGCCTGCTTGGAGGAGCCAGGGGTGGGGGGCACAGAACCAATCCAAAGTCATATTCAGCCTTGCTTCCTAATAAGCCCGTGTCCTCACTGGGAGCTTGTCCTTTTCAGGGTCCTTCCGCTTGCAACTCTGGGAGGCTCCTTAGGTGGATATAATTAGAGAGGGTTGCATGATCCCAGGGTAGCAGGGAGGGGCGACATTCAACAGGACAGAGTGCTGGTGCCTGGCAGCTTGGTGGCAGCAGGTGGGAGGGTCCAGCATTACCACTCAGCCAGCCAGCAGCCCTCAGCCTGCCCAGGCATCAGCAGCATGACTCTTTTATGGGGTACAAACATAATGCCTGGCTCTGGGGACGCGGGTGTGATGCCGGCAGACAGAGCTCTCCCTGCTCCCTTCTCTATTCCTCCAGCAGCCTGTTCCCAGCGGCCAATAAGTTGGTCCATAGACAGACGGATAAACCATTCAGAAGTTATGATCATGCTGGCAACGAGCGGCACTGGGTCTGGCTTAGCTGGCCTCCGAGTGGTGACATTCAAGTGGCACCCAGGAGGTGAACCAGAAGCATGGGGCAAAGACAGCATGGATGGGAGTCCTCCCCAACAGCGTTGTCCTCCCCAATAGCGCTGCTCACCCTTTTAGGAAGGGTGGGAGGGAGCTTTTGTTCACCTGAGTTATGTCCATCAACATTTATCACAGAAATTAAAACAAAAAATTTAAACTCAAGCATACATTCCAGTAGCTGTCAGAGGGGTGATGTCACCATACATCACACAGCCTCTGGGATATTCCATTGTATTCTTTTGAGAGAATAAAGAACAAATAATGTTACTGTTAGGAAAATAGTTCTGACCTTATGGCTCCCTGGAAAGGCCCGCCGTACCTGCAGGTGTCTCTGGGCCTCACTTTGAAAACCTCTGGAGGGTGGGGCTCCGGAGACTGGCCCCAGGAGGCATGGTGGCTGAGCTGAGAGAGAGAGTGTGTGTGTGTGTGTGTGTGTGTGTGTGTGTGCGTGCGCGCGCGGGGTGTCCCCAGGAGGCATGGTGGCTGAGCTGAGAGAAAGAGTGTGTGTGTGTGTGTGTGTGTGTGTGTGTGCGCGCGCGCGCCCGCGCGCGCGCGGGGTGTACCCAGAATCGGGCGGGAGGCCAGCAGGCCTAGGTCGGGCGGGAGGGGTCCACCCATGCACTAAGTAAAGCCGAGAGGAAACCAAGCTCAAGTTCTGCACCTGCCTCTTCCTAGGATGTAATCAAGACACAGGAGCGGTACCACGAGCTACCACCGGAGGGCGCTCGGCCCAGCGCAGAAAGGACTCAGACCCCAGACCCCTGAAGGGAGTCCAGGTCTCCTGCAGCCTTCCTGCCCACCGCCCTCCACTTCAGAAGCCAGGAGGGCGGCAGGTGTGTGGGCCGAGGGGGGCCATAGGACAGGATGATGAGACCTTGTGAAGAGAGGCAGGGTGACAGCAAAGGGACTGGATGCTCAGGGAGGAGGGAGGTAAACTGGAGGAGGGCCAGGGTCACAGTGACGGGCCTTGGAGATCCAAGGACTGGAGTAGGGGCCTGCCACGCTGGAGGAGTGGGTACCCGCCAGTGAATGCTAGGCCCCAAGGAGCCAGGACTGAGGGATGAGGTTAACGGTGGAGGCAGGTTGAGGACCTACGGGTGCTGATCCTTGGGGATGTAGTGTGGGGACGAGGTGGGGGGCCGGGCCTGGCGGTGTACAGTTGCGGGGAACACGGTCCCGCAGGGAGCGGGTTGTGGGGGTGGGGTAGGGGCACGCAGGGCGGGGGTTACATAAATGTTCCCTGGCGCCCTGCGAGGCAGCGGTTGCCTCATCTTATCAGGGAACAGGGCGTCCCACACTCTTGCCCAAGCCGCAGGCCTGGGCGGGGACAGCGTGTTCTTTCTGAGAAGCCACAAGAGACCGGGCGGGAGCCCAGGGCTCTCCTTGCCCAACCCCCGCAACGGCGCCCCGCCCCGGGGCCCGCCTCGCGCAGGTGCAGCCGCGCTCACTAGTGCGCATGCTCCGCTCGGACCGGTCCAGAGACCGCCTCCAGTTTGCCCTCCGTCAAGGGCGTGTGCTCCGCGTGACCTCACTCGGCCCATCCAGCCTCGGCCAAACTTGCCAGCCTCCGCAGCGTGAGGGAGGTACTGGCTCCAAGAGCAACTACGTCGTGGTTCTTTTCTGTGTGTGAGCCCCTGGTGGGCAGTCGAGGCAGTGGTGGTGCCCTGAGCCAGGACTGGCGTCGCGCCTGCAGACCTGGGCAGTGAGTGCTGGGCTCCACCGGCCCCAGCTCCGGGAAGCCTGGGGAAGGGAGAAGGGAGAAGTCTGACCTGGGGCCCCGGGACAGAAAAGCAGGTGGTCCAGGGGTGCTCAGATCCACAAGAGCACACCTCGGTGAGCACACGGCATCCGTGTGGGTGTATGGAGGATGATGGGGGAGGGGCAAGGCTGGTCCAGTCAGAGGGAGGCACAGGCAGAGGCCTTCATAGAGAAACAGCTGCTCCCAGGCTCCAGTTACTGGCTGCCAGCAAGCGGCCTGCCATTCATCAATAGATCGCTCCAATCTGTGGTCTCCGGCATGCGTCCGCTTCCAGTTCCTAACCTCAAAACGGCCACGTTCTTCATTCCCTGGAGGCCTGCTTTCCCTCCCACTCCGCGCATCTCGGCAGATGGCTGACCACTGAGGCCAATCAATTGCCAGCCTCCGAAGAAAGCCAGACCGGCAGCCTCAGGGTCAACAGAAAGGCCTGTTCTCTGAGGGGGAAGCTGACTTTTCTATTTTCTTTAGGAGACCATTCGGCTCCTCTGCTGGTGACTTACAAACCCACATGGAGCTGACACTTGGATGCCTGTGTCCTGGGGAGTCCAGGCTGGAAGCTCTTACCCATCACTGTACAGGTGAGGGAGGTGAGGCCCTGGTGAGAGATCTGCCACCCGGTGGGATCCCCCTTGCCCTGGGACTCAGCTGGCAGAGCAGTGCCCTGGGCACCTGGGCAGAAGCAGTGATTTCTGCCTGGAAGCCACCCCTGCAGAGGTCACAGCCTGCCCCTCTCCCGCACCTGCACTCCTGCTCATTTGTCTTGGCTGCATCTCATAGTAACTGTGAAGGTTTAGTGTGAGAACACACAGGTGTTCAGAGGAGATAGGCGGTTATCACGGGCGGAGCTCCTGGGAGCGTCCCTGGCTAGACACCAGCCAGTGCTCATTTCTGCTGAAACTGCCCGGCCCTGCCCGGGATGCTCTCCTTCAGCAGTGCTGTGGTGCATGCATGTGGCTCATCACAAGCTCCTGTGCACTCTTGCACATGCCAGGGCTGGCAGCACATGAAGGGAGGAGGTACCTGGCGGGAGACTGCTACACACAGCCTGGGGGCTTGAGTTAAACAAGCAAGTCTGCCTTCTGGAGACCTGAGTATCTCCATGTTTGTACACTGGGTGCAGGTGTATTTTTAAAAAAATATGTATTCGGCTGTGTTGGGTCTTAGCTGCAGCTCGAGGGCTTGGCATGTGGGATCTTAGTTCCCTGACCAGGGATCGAACCTGTCCCCCCTGCATTGAACAGTGGATTCTTAACCACTAGACTCCCAAGGAACTCCCGATGCAGGTGTATTTTTAAAGTAGGCGTTCTGGGTTGTTGCTTTGCCTTGCTTTGTTTTGGAATAGGGTAATTTGGTCCTAAAATTCATGTAGAAAAATAAATAGAAATAGCAAAAAAAAAAAAAAAAAAAAAAAACCCTCTGAAAAATAATATTGAAGTGGGGGGACTGACCACCAGGTCTAACAAGCCATTAATTGCACAGGCTGCTGACTGGCAATAGAGCACAGCAGAAATGCCTGGACCAGATTCTAGGACCATGGAAATTATGAAGCAGAAAAGGACATCTAAGGCAGGGTTCAAGGGATAGGGTCCAAAAATGTCAGGACATCTAAGTAACAATTGCCTCTAGCTTCATACCGTAAACCAGGATAAACTCTGAAAGGGTCAAAGATTTAAATGGGAAAAGTAAAACCACAGATGTTTTAGGGGAAAACATGAGAGAACATTCCTTTTAAATGCTAGAAGTTCTTTCTATGAATCAAAATCTAGATGCCATAAAAGACTGATAAATTTGACTACAAATGTATAAAATACATCCCCATAAACAAAGTCACAAGGAAAGGCAAAAAATAAGTAACAAACCGAGGAAAATATACCTATAGCTCTTGTTACAAAGGACTAATTTCCAATACCGGAAGAGATGACAGAAATTAAAAGGAAAACATAACACCCAATAGAAAAATGGGCAAGGGCTCTAACTGACAGTTCATAAACGGGAGGTACAGTGACTCTTGAACATCCAAAAAAGACGCTCAATACTGCCCATCAGGAGACAGATACAAGCGAAACCCCACAGACACTCCCCTTCTTACCTATCAGGGAGCTGAGATGCTGGGCGCTGGCACACCCACCTTTACTGACGGAAGTACACCCTGCCACCAGCTCTGCAGAGGACACCCTGGCAACGACTACTCAGATGACAGACCTGTGAACTCACAATGCAACCTGGGGGAGCTAGCCTGCAGGCTATACCCGCACACCTACAAAATGGGATGTGAGCTTGCTCACGCAGTGTGGTGAACGCCTCAAAACAACTCATGCTCTTCTAGGCTTTGTTACATGCACTTAACAGACCCTCACACCACAGACTCCTATGAAGAAGGAGCTGAACAGTTTCTTTCTCAACTGAGATGGAAAGATCTCTGGGGGATGGCACTGAGAGAAAAGCGAGCTCCCAAGCAGGACGCTCAGTCTGGAGGCCGTTTCACGTGCGTGCAGATCTGCCTGGATCTGAGATGCTCCGGGTGGGTACCTGAGGACACAGGACCAGTAGTCGGTGGGGGCAGAGAGCTAGGCCCCTGGAGGACAAGGACTCGGAGAACTTTCCTTGGAAAGGGACTTAAATGCCCTGAATTTTGAAACATACAATGTGTTTACCTAAAAATTAAAAACACAAATCCAAACACAAAGCAAACTCAAATGGCAGCCGCAAATTCTACCTTTCTACAAGTTCCCAGGGCAGGACTGGGACTCTACCCAGACTCCACAGCCCCGCTCACACTGCAAACGGCTGGATGGAGGCCTCTCCCTGATAAACAGTGTGACAGACCTGGTATGGCTTAAAAGACAGCAGAGACGCATTCCAACAGCAGCAGACCCGGGGCTGTAATCATGCCTGGAGGCCCCCCAGGTTCCTGCCATAAAAGTCGCTCTGTCCATTCTCCTACGATGGACCATTTAGCACCAGCCTGGGTGGATCCGGCAGGCACCGGCTGCCACCCATCCTCCTCCTGCAACCCAGGAGAGTTCATCCCACTGCAAGGATGAATACCCCAAGTTCAAGGCAGGAGAATGGGAGTCCTCTGCCAGGGCCAGGAAAGAGGGAGGGACTGGGTGTCCTGTGCAGGCTCCTGGAAAAGGCTTTCCTCCTGGACCAAAAAAGACAGGATGAGGGCAGGGCGTATGCGGGATGGGGGAGCAGGAATGGCATGGAAAAGCCTCTGAGGCTCGGAGGTGGGGGAGACCTTGGGGTGACGATAGTCACCAGTAGCTGCAAAGAAGTCCTTGGCGACTCCCAGGGGGGCCAGACTACTCCTTGATACAGATGAGTCCTTGGCCAAGCTGGGGCCCCACACTACCCCCGCCCCAAAAAAGCCAGCTCTACGTGGTCAGCAGGGCCACCAGGGCCCCAGAGAAAGGGCCTGGCCCAGGGGGCGGGGCACGCCACCCCCTGTTCTCAGGCAGAGGCTATGCAAGCACTCTGGCCCTACTTCCTCTTCCTGTGTCCCCTCCCCCAGCCCTCAGGTTCCTCCCCCTGTGCCTCCCAGGCAGGGAACCAGTCCCTATGGTGCATGGGCGTGGTGCGCTATTCAGGACTGCACCCACCCCAAGAGGCAGGTGGGTGCAGTATGAACCATCTGTAAGATGGGACCTGAGGTCAAATGTCAGAATGGCCTCACCCAGCTCACACGAGGGGATGGCATGTCAGGATTTCCCCCCTCCCCACCATGGATCAGGCTCTACTATGGCCAGCCGCCCACGCTGACCCTGGCCACTAACATCTGGGGTGACAGCAGGAGAGGAACCCTGGAAGCTACCGCCCATCATCCAGACAGCCTGGGGAGCCACACCTGCCCCAGTGCAGTCACAAGGCCCCCCTCAGCTCCTCAGGGTAGGGCTGGCAGACCCCCAATCCCAGGCAAGGGCGTCCCTGTCGGCGCCCACCATGCAGAAGGAGCCAGGCCGCTCTCTTCCCTGAGAGGCTGGCCTGTCTGTCTTCAAGGCCTAAGCGCCCAGAGGTTGCACCCTCAAAAAACCTGAGCCCAGGCTCTGCCTCCAGGCCTGGTGCCTACAGCCAGCCTATTCCAGGGACAAGAAGTAGGCCATTTCCCTTAGAGGAAAAAAGTCACGAGGCTCGAACAGAACAAAGTCAAACGGTGGACTTTTCAGAGCTGATTTCATAAAACAAGTAAATCAGAATAAAAACAAGTAAGCCATTTATTTCACTATCGTCTGAAAATGCTTTTGGTTTTTGAGGGAGCAGATGCAAAAAAAAAAAAAAAAAAAAAAGCCTGTCACTGACCTACTTCTGCTACAACAGTTGGGAGACGCAGAGGACCTACCTGAGATGCTCAGGAAGGCGCCCAGGTCACCAGACTCGCCAGTGTCTGGCTGGCCTGGGCCACATGGGGTAGTTACACCCGATTCTGTTTGTTGGAGCAGACTCTACATCGCCCTGCCGCAAGCCTGGGTGCTAGTCAACACATCAGGCTGCACACATGGAGTGGGAGGCCATCCATTGCCCCCCCCACTCCCCTGGCCTTCTCCCTCCCTGAAGCTATCCATGCTGTCTGGGGAGAAGTGCCCTCCTGGGAGCCTTCCAGATCCAGGGACAAAGGCTGGCCCTTCTCCACACACCCTGCCTGGCCCTCTGCCTTTCTCTGGCCCAGCCTAGAGCAGGTTTCCAAGGAACCTGAGACAGGAAGGAGGGCAGAAGCCACTCTGCAGCCCCCACTACCGGCACTGTCCCCAGAAGCCTTGGGCTGGGGTGCCCCCTTTCTCTATGGCTTAGCAGGGGACTGACGCTGAGGATGGCCAGTGAGAACTGCCTCAAGGTGGCACTCCTTGGAGTCACCCCCCAGGGTCATCACAAGCAGGATTCATGTGTTGGGTGGGGCAGGTAGGTGTGGAGCCAGTCTGGCTGTCTCTCTGATGCTCTCACAAACCACAGAAATGATCCACTCACACACTTTTGTCCCCACTGGCCAACCAAGAATACAGACCCCTGAGCAGTCAGCCCCACTGTCCCATGTGTGGGGGAGACACACGTGCCCCAGAGCTACCATTGCAGGGAGGACCCACAGCTATCTGGGGTGACCTCATCCTGCCATCCCTACTGTTTTCAGCTGCATTGCTTTTTACAGTCAGAACGCAACACAATGGATGTACACACATTTACACTTATCTACATGTGTGTGCGTGCTCAGCCGCTCAGTCGTGTCTGACTCTTTGCCACTGTATGGACTGTAGCCAGCCAGGCTCCTCTGTCCATGAAATTCTCCAGGCTAGAATACTGGAGTGGGTTGCCATTTCCTCCTCCAGGGGATCTTCCTAACCCAGAGATCCAACCCAAGTCTTCTGCATTTCCAGTATTGCAGGCAGATTCTTAACCCACTGAACCACAGGGGATCAACAAACTTTGAACAGAGATATTTCAGACTTGGGCCTGTCTCCGTGGAAGCCAGCACCCAGGCCTCTGCCGAGGGAGCAGTGCTCACCGACACACACGGGTGCACATGCCTGTGGCGGTCAGAAGGACTACACACCAGGCATTTCAGAAAGGTCTTTTTCCTGCTTTTGCTAAGGGTTTCAAAACACATTTGAAAATTTCTGTACCCAAGGTCCCCTTTCTAACAGTGAGAATAAAATACCAATGGTTCCTGCCAGCAGGTGGCCAGCAATCACTCCAGACAAGGGTTTGAGGCCATCTCGGTGGCACACACACAGTCGACTCACATCCCCGTACTTTTCCTGAAGGGACAGGCGAGGTGAGGTGTGTTGCCTCCCCTGCTCCCCCAAGTGCTTCCAGACCCCAGACTGCTCCACACAGGGGATCTCCTCCAGGGGACGTAATGCCATGAGCAACTCATGTGAGCTGAACCCCAAGAACAGATGATTCCATCTCTTTGCTCTCTGTTCTGGTGGTCACATCACTAACTGCCTCCAAAGGGAACCCACCAGTGTCTTCCCTGAGCTGAGGGGAGCAGCCCCATCAAGGCCCGGCCCTCTCCGGGCCAGCTCAGGAGAATCCTCCCGCCTCAGGAGCAGTGTGCCGTCAACAGCCTGTCTGGGAGTCTGTGATTGGTGGCACCCCAACCCAGACAGCCCAGGAATCACATTTCAATCAGTTTCATTGGAGATCTTCTCAAACACTCCAGAGGTGAGGACACGAGTTTAGGATCCACAAGTAAAGACCCAGCTTCACTCATTTGATAAAAATATTCTTCATGTAAGACTAATCAAAAACAAAGTGGGACTGGGGCTTCCCTGGTGGTCCAGCGGTTAAGAGTCCACCTGCCAATACAGGGGACACGTGTTCAATCCTAGGTCCAGGAAGATCCCACATGCTGTGGCGCACCTAAGCGCATGAGTCACAGTTACTGAGCCTGTGTGCCTAGAGCCTGTGCTCCATAACGAGAAGCCTCAGCTTGCCGCAACTAGAGAAAACCCACTCGCAGCAATGAAGACCCTAGTGCACCCCCAAAAGTAAATAAAAATTAAAAAGTAAAGGGAACTCATATCCAAAATATATAAAGAATTTTAAAATCTCAACAATAAGCGAACACTTGACTGTATAATAAATACCGATGAGAGACCCAAACTCAACTATCAAAGATGCACAGATGGCAAATGCTATGTGAAAAGTGCTCAATATCATTTGTCATCAAGGAAACAAAAGTAAAACAAGAGGATGGCGCCCTACACAAGTGTGTGTGTGTTCAGTCATGTCCGACTCTTTGCAACCCCCACGGACTGTAGCCCTCCAGGCTCCTCTGTCCATGGCAACTCTCCAGGCAAGAATACTGGAGTGGGTTGCCATGCCCTTCTCCAGGTGATCTTCCTGCATCTCTTATGTCTTCTGCACTGGCAGGTGGGTTCTTTACCACTAGCCCCACGAAGCCCATACACAAGTGAGAGCAGCTAAAATCCAAAAAAACTGACCCTGCTGGTGGAGCAGCTGAAACTCTTGTTTGCTGCTGGTGACAATGCAACATGGGATGGTCATTTTACAAGATGGCTGGGAAGTTTCTTAAGAAGTTAAACACAGACTCACTAGACAAGGCAGCAGTCCCACTCCTAGGCATTCATCAAGGGAATTCACCATCAGCCAACACTGGCAGTCAGCACTTTCTGTGGGTGAGGGGGTGAACATGAGCTATGTCCACACAGTGGAGCACAATTCAGCCACAAAACAGAAGGAACTACTGGTTCCCGCACACCCAAGTGAATGCATCTGAAATGCATCTTGCTACAAAGAAGAAGCTAGACCCCTAAGTCTATACATTGTATGACTACTCATGTGACATTCCGTCAAAGGCGAAACTGTAAGGACAGAAAATGCCCCAGGGGTTGGAGGGCTGTGGCTGACCACAGAGCTTAATTTTTAGGGTGATGGAACTCTTCTGCCTGGTATTGGGAGGGTGGTTACAGACTCTCTGCTTTGCCAAAACCTATAGACTGGACTTCACCAAGAATGTACTGGAATGTTTGCAAATGTTTAGCCTGGAGAGAAGGCTGGAGATCCCAGGATGGGGGCTGGCTGGGACAGTAGACACCAGCCATATTACAAACACATGACATGGTATCTGGGTGGGTGGGGAGACAGGGACAAAGAAGAAGCCTGCACCTCAACAGAGCTCCAGCTTCTTAGAGGAGAATCCAGGGCAGACCATCCCAAAGTGCTTCACATGTGCTCCAGGGCTGAACAAACAAGTGGATGCAAGGCAGGGGGAGGGAGCCTAGGTCTTGCTGTCAGAGAGGCAACAGCCTCTGGACCAGGGGAGGCAGTGAGTCCTTCCTGGGGGGGTCGGGGAGGGATGCCTCCAAATCTGAGATGGTGTGAACTCATGCTCAGTCCTGTGTTCACACAGAGAGCTAAGTGAGTGAAGACTGTGGGCGAGGACACATCCTGGCTCTGTCCACCAGGAAGAGCAAGAAGCAGTGACACCCCCGGGAACAAGGAACACCTGCGGCACCTAGATCTTGGTCTCTAAATACCACTTTACACTAAACATAAATGGGGATCCTTGGAGACATGGCTCACTCTGGGACTGGAGTGGTAAACATACGAGATAAGCCAGAAGCAGCTTGTAATGCCAGACAGTGAAGAAGTGCACAGAAGTCAGCGTGAGAGGGGCAAGGGACCCAGAAACCAACCTGACCTGGCCCTGGCCAAGGCTGGAATGTTTGAGTAACAAAGTATATACCAGCTGTCGCTCGATTAAAGTGACTAGAAGAACCCTTCTAGGAAACGGCAGCCCACTCCGGTATTCTTGCCTGGGAAATCCCATGGACAGAGTCTGAGCCTGGTGGGCTACAGTCCATGGGGTTGCAAAGAGTCAGACACGAGTGACTAAGCACAGAAGAGCACTTCCCCTCTATGGGGTTTTTCCTCCAAAGCCATAAACCCAGTCTCACTCCAAGAAAAACATCAGACAAATGCAAACTGAGGGACATTCTACACAATCCCTGGCCACCACCCCTCACAATGGTCAAGGTCAAGGGGAACAAGGAAAGTCTGGGAACCTGTCCCAGTCTAGAGAAGCCCAGGAGAGCTGACTACTATAGTAGTCAGACAGTGAATTACAGAAAACTCTGCAGTCACATTGTGGGATCATGACAGCACTGACCATGTGGCTTCTTTCTAACTTTTTATTCTGTACTAGACTATGGCTGATTAACAACGTTGTGATCGTCTCAGGTGGACAGCAAAGGGACTCAGCCATACATATACATGTATCCATTCTCACCCAAATTCCCCTCTCATCCAGGGTACCTGGCTTATTTCTGAGAAGTCAGTCAGTTCTTCTTAGATAGTGCAAAGGGCTAATATAGCCCCATTTGTTGGGGAAAAAAATAAATGGTGGTGAAAGTGAGAGATTTCCAAGGTTCCTCAGATGTGTTAGGAGGACTGGCTCACACAGTGGCTACATTTGCCAGCCAGATACTTCCCTGCTGAATGCTTGCCCGTTCCAAGGATGAATGTGCAGGAACTGTCCAGTGGTGACTGTGGCAGAAACAGTCAAGTGCCCAATATCCCAGCACCTGCTATCTGGGTCTTTATTTTTCTAGATGACATGACTTTAGCTTCTGTAGCAACAATGCACCAGGGTAAAATGCTTCCTGCTCAACTCCCTTGCAGCTACAATGGGCTTTGGGAACTGATTCTGCCCAATTTGCCGTAGTTGTTAAGTCACTAAGTCACGTCCAACTCTTTGCGACCCCAAGGACTGCAGCAGGCCAGGCTTCCCTGTCCTTCACTATCTCCCTGAGTTTGGTCAAACTCATGTCCATTGAGTTAGTCATGCCATCCAACCATTTCATTTTCTGTCACCCACTTCTCCTCCTGCCCTCAATCTTTCCCAGCATCAGGGTCTTTTCCAGTGAGTTGGCTCTTCGCATCAGGTGGCCAAAGTATTGGAGATTCAGCTATGGCATCAGTCCTTTCAATGAATATTCAGGGTTGATTTCTGGTGATTGAGTTCTAATTAAACCACTGGGTGCATTTTCATGATAGAGGTGGCTATATGCACTCTGCCTTTCATACCAGGCTGGACCATATCCTCCCTACATGGACCGAGTCCTCCCCACCCACAATGTGGGTTCCAACATTGCAGGACCACCAGAGTCACACCGTCGCTGACCTCAGGGGCAGCACTCTCCTCTCCCTGAATGGCTGCCTTCTTATGCACCCTGAGAAGACTTTTGGCTGGGGCTCTAGCTGTCCCTCCTGGATAACATCTCTGGACAAGAGTAAAAGGAGGGCCTAGCTGACCAGCTGGACACTGCGGCCCAAGGCAGCAGTGGCACCTGTGAGGGGAAGGGGTTGTCCTGCCCAGTGGTGTGGCAGGTACACCCCCAGGCAGCTCCCAGCCTCTGGGCAGAATCACCACTGGCCACCAGACACATGAGAAAAACCTCTGATGTGCGTGGGCAGGCAGGCCAGAGGAAAAAGGCACCCTGGTGGATGCAGAGGTGAGGAGAAGCAACTCCCAGAGCTGTCACTGGTGCTCAGAGGTAAGATTCGACATCTGTGAAGCAAAAACAGGATGTTCCTTAAAGAGAAGAGACCCAGAAACTGAGTCTGAAAGCAAAGACACACAATACGGTGATATGGCAGAGATTAAAATCCAATCTCAAGTTGTCAGAGAACATGGAGACAGCACCACAGACAAAGAGCAAAAGATGAGAAAATGGATGACAAGAGGGCAAAGATAAGAAAAGGAAAGGATCCAGTTATGGAGCCCAGAGAGCTGGAGGACAGAGGGGTGGGCTGTCACCCGGGGTGGGCAAGAGTGAGGCCAAGTTCAGGAAGAGAGCCTATTGGGGGTGGGGGGGAGAGGGTGCACCTGGTGCACCCTCTCCCCCCCAGTAGAGACCCCTGACACCCACAGTTCCAAGGACAGGAGAGTGTGTCAGGTGTCAGGAGTCGCGTGGCCTCGACCTTGCCAGAAACCACAGCAAAGGCCCAAGACTGCAAAGCAAGGCCTCCCCAAATCCCAAGCTGACTAGGAGACCCAGGACCAGACATCCAGCCCAGAGGACTCAGGTGTGAGGCCAGGAGCAAAATACTGCAGACACACGAGTCTACAGAAACAGCCTCCTGAGCCTTTCTAGGCTCCACTGAGGAGCAGAGGCTCCAAGAAACAGAGCCTAGATGGCGGCAGGTCCCAGGACAGCAGCACCACCAGTCCAGAGCCTCAGGGAGCTGAAGAGGAGGCCCCTAGAGGACAGGCTGCATGTCCCACCCTGTGGGGAGAGCCACGAGGGGACGAGGGGGCAAGGGGACGAGGCAGTAATAGCAGCACTGAGAAAACCAGGCAGAAGGGCAACTTTATCTTTTTTCATTTTTTATTTTTTCTTACCTTCTTTCTCAGAAGGGCAACTTTAGCTCTCAGGAAAAGAAACATGAGCAATACCTGCAGCCTGCGTCTCTTAGTCCTGAACACCTCTGAAGGTGAGCGGGATAACAAACTGTGACCTGGAAGTGGGGAAAGGTGGTCACCACCAAAGAGGCCACATGGCTGCCTCTGGACGGGTCACAGCCAGAACATGGATGCGGGCCTCGGGTCCTGCCTGCCACCCCCCCGAGTGACTCTGGTAATACTGGAGGGACAGGTCCAGCGTTCCTGGCAGCCCAGCCTTTCCTCGGAGAGTTGCTGTGCTGGCCTCATCACCCATCTGCAAAAGCCATGGAGGACACCAGGTGGGTGGACGCGGTGCCTGCCCCGCCCCACCAGAAAATATCCCTGCCAGCCCGCATCACCCCACGAGCTCTCGGCTGTTTCAGTCATTGCTCCTGATTTCTGTAAAACTCTGTGTCCAGAGCAGCTCTGACAGTATGCTTGTCTTGGGAGCTGCTTGCTCCCCCAACGAAGCTCTGTCAGTGGGTGTGGGGTGGGGGGCTCTGGGCTTCTGTGTCTTTATTCCATCTTATTGAGCACTACTCTAGCCCAAGACATACCAGACTCTGGTCTCCAAATCGGGGCCCTGACATGTTAGGGGCGCCTGGAGACCCTGCAGAGAATCAAAGGCTGAAGGCTCTGCTCTCTCCTCCAGCAGGCCTGATTCAGAGGCCAACCTGCTCACTGGACCCCGTTCCTCCTCCAGTGCCTGAGGCCCACTTGCCGCACCCTAGGCTTGGGCTTTGGTCAGCAGCTCCAGCTCCACCCTACGGAGGCCAGGGTGGCGGCCTACAGGCTGGGCGGGAGCCCTGGCGCTGGGGCGGGGGTTGAGCCTTCCCTGCCAAGCGCCACATGGGCCCCTGGATTGTGCGAGTCTCCTCGGTCCGGAAGTGGGGAGTGCTATGGAGTTGCTGTCTCCAGGGGTCCAAGAGCCAGGTCAGGCCATGGGGGAGGGGGACTTCCCAGAAAGAGCCTGGTTTCTGTTTAAAAGGAGAAACAGACTCAGAAGAGTCCTCCTCCTCTTCCTCACATCCAAGCCCTGTGGATGCAGGATCCCCACCAAGAGGACCTGGGGGTCCTACTGCAGGCCCCGGCCACTCCCGCTTGCGGCCAGATGGCTATGGGAACTCTGGCCGCAGACACCGCCCCCCTTCCAGGCGCTATTCTTGGTGTGTGTCTCCCTTTGGGGGGGAGGATGAGGGTGGAAATGATCAGAAGCTAAAATTAGCAAACGGCAAACAATTGAGGCCAGGGAACTGAGGTCGGCTGAGGATAACGGTTTTGTTTTCTGTGGCCCTGAGGTGGTTTGAGCAATAAAGGGAATTGAAAATGAAAACAAATCTGGACGCCACCCAAGCCCTGCTGGGACCAGAAGACAGGGGGCACACAGGGGTGGGCGGCCAGATGACAGTGCCCAGCCTGGCCCCTCCTGGGGCTCCCCTCCTCCCGCCCACGGGGACTTCCTGCTGCTGCTGCCCTGCGAACTGGCCTTCTCTCCCACGGCCGCAGGGACGGCCTCCCTGGCACTAGCCTAGCTGACTTCTGCTCCAGGGAGGGCTGGCATAAACCCCTGTGACTGTGCCTTGAAGCCAGGCCTACGAGCCCCTGCCCTGGTTCCATGGGGAATGCCGGTGACACACCAGGAAACCAGGCCCAAGGATCTGTGACATGCTGGGTTACATGGTTGGGCGGGCAGAGGCCCTCAGCACACAGGCATGGCTGGGAGGTGGGCGCTATGACTCCTGACTGCCCTGATGGGGGCCGGCTGCACAGTGGCTGCAGACAGACAAGGGAGGGGGCCCGGCCTTGTTGCTGCTTGGTGAACAGGGAGCTCTGCTCCCCTAGAAGTCATGCCGAGCGCTCCTGGGAAGGGGGAAGTAAAGCCCCCCCTTCGCTCCTAACAGTGCTTGGCTTGGCCTGGAACACAGAGGCCATGGGGTGGCTGTGGCCCCAAGGATAGGGTGCCCATTCCCAAGTCAGAGTGGCTGCTGGAGGCCCTTCCCTGGGGCCAGCCCAGGGCCATGAGCTTGAGGCACCACAAGTGACTCCACCACCACAGGTGTGCACATTTCAGTCCTTGAAGCCGCCACAGGGCGAGTGCTGGCCCACACCTAGCCAGGCTGGCCTAGACCCACACTCACCCAGCACTGACCTCAGTGCCATTTACATCTCCAGAAACTGACCAGGGCTCGGCTGGCCGCCACCTGGGCCACCAGGTCTACGTGTACAGAGCAGGGAGCCCAGGTAATTCGAGGGGTGGAACTGGAGTCCAGGTGGAGGGTCTCCTGTGAAGACCAGTGCTGAGAAGAGATGGAGAGCTGTGGGTGTGGCCTGAGCCAATGATGAACACAGTTCCATGGCCGCTTCCCAGGGCCAGGAGATCTCGGTGTCCGAGGTCAAACCACATGCCCTCCAGCCCTGAGGGCCCAGAGGTGGGGTGTACAGCAGAGCAGTCTCAGGGGCCTGGGGTAAAGAGCAAGACTGGGGCCTTCCCTACCAGTCAGCTCAGCTCACTGCAAAGTCCTTGGACATCTGAGAGCACCCTTCTTCCTGCCAGGGTGCTGAGCTGGGTGTTCTCATGCATCACTGGTAGGGTCACTCATTCTTCCTTTCTAGAAGGCAATCTGCCCCTAAGTGCACATTCCTGTGCTTGCTCCCAGGATGATAACAAGGACAAGCCCACCATGGGTGACAGTCAGTCACAGGCTTTCCAGGAAAGCAAGTCACTGGAGGTATCACAGCCCGCGACCCAGGGCCTAGTAAGGACACAAGGGACGAAAAGACGAGGATGCGCAGGGCAACCATGAGAAGACAGGTCCAGGGGCCTGCTGGCACTTTGAAGACGTGACCACCACAGAATGTCACAGTGGGAAAGGGCCAAACGGAAAATGACTGTGTGGGACGATCCCACGTTTCATGTTAAAATAGATACAGGCAGACGTGTTAACACAGTGTCTCGTGGGAGGTGGGATTAAAGTTACTGCTTTTCCTCTTTTTCTCTTAATGCTTTTCCATTTCCCAAATCCTCTTTCATGAACACACTTGGCTTTTATAATCAGAAATAAAAACAAGTACAATGCGCTGAAATGACAATTTCCAGTAAAGCTACTTCTTACAAGAAACAGGAACACATCTGACCCAGTCCCGGAGCACCAGCAGCAAGTCATAAATAGATGGAGCACACATTCTCCAACTGTTGATGGGACCCGACTCAGAAGCTGCCCTCAGGTCCACGGATGGTGGGTCTGGGTCATCTGAAAAGACACGTCTTTCCGGGAGATGCTGTGGAGTTTCTTTGCTTGGCTGTCCACCACCCCCAGTCTTGGAGAAGAGACCTAAAGGTGAGGACAGAGCCAGATAACTGCTCTGAAGACGTAAAATTGGGTATCACATAATCTCTTTTTTGAGTTTTTCTAAATTTTCCAAAATTGTTTGCAGTTAATGTATCATTTTCAATAAAAACGTGTGTGTGCACACGCATGTGCACACGCCACGCGTGGCCCTCCTCTTCTCAGAGAGCACCAGGCTGGGCTGACACAGCCAGACCTTGGGCTCTGCTGTCACTTGAGCACAAAGCCAAGTAAAAGGTGATAGAAGGGGCAGCCAGCTGCTCCCATATATGTCCATCGTGTCCTTGTCTCTTTTCTCAACTGGACCCTTCCGTGGGCAGCCTGACATCCCGCCATGTCCTGTGCATTTTCCACTTTCCTCCATCAGCAGGAAACCTAGGGTTTGGGTCCTGTCTTCAGAAATAGATGAGGGGCATCCAGATAGAGTAGGAAGAAGCTGCCAGAGCCTTCCCTCCTCCTGTGCATTCTTCCAAAGATACCCTTGGAAGGGAGGGGTATGCATGCAGCCCTGGGGCCCAGCCCTGGGGGACATGAAGGGCATCGTGACACCCACTTCCCCTTTCTTCTTCCCTGGCCTCCAGAGTCACCCAGCCCTTCCCTCAGGGCCCCCATCCATTCTGCTGATGAAGGCCCCCATAAGACTCCCCCTTCCCACCACTCCTTCTTGGCTCCTGGATGCCCACACCCTGAACCTGGCTCTCATCACCAAGGCAACGCCCCTCCAGCCCAGACTTGCCTCTGGACTACCCCCCAGAGACGGGGCAGTGCCTCTCTGCTCCCACAACCCCACAGTCCAAACTCAAGCCCCCTTCCCAGAGGGAAGGCTCTGGCAGCTTCTTCCTACTCTATCTGGGTGCCCCTCGTCTATTTCTAAAGACAGGACCCAAACCCTAGGTTTCCTGCTGATGGAGGAAAGTGGAAAATGCACAGGACGTGGCGGGATGTCAGGCTGCCCACGGAAGGGTCCAGTTGGGAAAAGAGACAAGGACACGATGGACATTACAGGAGACTGGTTCACAGCTTTGGAAAGACCTGCCTTTCCCCTCTCCCCACCCACAAGCGCCAGGAAGTGCACTTCCCAAACCGCCATCAGCCCAGCAAGGTCTAGGCACAGGGGCCAGTGCCCATGACCCTGGGTTCCCAGGTGGACCCCAGGGTGGGCTGCAGGAGCCTTCTCCTCAGGAGCCTTGGTGCCACCAGTGGAGCTCCAGGGGGGTGCCTGTGATGCTGGGGGAAGGGGACACCAAACCCCAGCTCCACGTCTCCCTGGCCGGTTTCTCAATCATACCTACTGAGCACGGAGCCTGTCACAGATGCCCCAGGTCAGCAGTGTCCGTGACGGGAGGCACCAGCCCACCCCCGCCCGGGGTCTCAGTGTGGCCTCATGGCGGTGACACCCCCAGCCAGGCAGGTGCTGCCCAGCAGGGACATCAGACCCACTCAGCTTCCCCACTTTCCAGACTCCATCCCCTCCTCACCTTCCCCCAGTGCCTCCTTTCACCCCCAAGGGTCCCGTCACCACGTACGTGCACAGGGCCCCACGGTCGGGGAGGGAGGATGTTGGGGGTGGTGCAGGCCTCCCTCACCAGCAGGAGCCGGGGCCTTCGAGGCACTCAAGACAGCAAAGACCCTGCCCTGGCACCATCCCGTGGGGTACACCCCGCACAGGTGGCTTTACACTTGGGTCCGTGTGTGCCACTGGTCAGGCCAGCCCCTAGCTTCAGCCCTGTTGCCTTGACTTTGACTACAGTGTGGCCCGGACCCCACTGCCTGAGGACGTGGGACCTCACATGACTCCGGACCGGCCCACCCTGCCCCTCAGTGTGGTTGGATTCACAGCGCTGCCTCCTCCAGACCCCATCACCCTAGCCAAGTCTGTGAAGGCCTAGGAGGACGCAGATCCCCAGTCCAGAAGCATCTTCCCAAGACCACAGGCCCCAACCCCCGGCCTGGCCCCAAGGATCGGTGCATCCCACTCATGGCCTCGGGGGTTGAAGCCTGTCATCGGGGTGTCCGCCGTGTGGAGGCAGGAGCCTGCCCAGCCTTGGGGAGGCTAGCACTGTCCTCCAGGGGTGTGGAGAGCTCCTGGCTGCAGCCCCTCTCACCACCCCCAACCCCTGCCCTGCCAGCTGTCCTTCAGGCTCTTTTCTGTCCTGGAATCCACTGAGATATTGTTGACAGAAAGGTTCTAATGCTTTTAGGGGGGGAAAAAAAATCCATAAACCTCTAAACCAGGATTCATTCTCCACATTCTTAGGACAGATCCTGTGATGACCGGGTTTGGCCCCAGGGAGGGGTGGAAGGACAGCCCAGGCCTCCCTGAGCTCTCTCTGTCGACCTCTGGAAACAGACCCTCCAGCCTAGGCCCCCGAGTGCGGGGTGACTCCCCACAAGCTAGGCCCATGTCGGTGGGGCAGGGGTAGGCCACCCCAACAGCCGAGCACCCGGCTGTTTCCAGTTCCCAGCGCCCCAGCATCCCTGGCTGGACTCAGGGACACGTTTTGACCCCGGCCTGATAACAGGAGTGAGGGCGGTGATGGAGACGCTCAGGAGACCATTTTGCTGACCCCCCAGCCCTGCCGCACATATGAGAGGGGGGACCAGAGGTCAGCACAGACTGGTCCCGTATGCAGAGGAGGGAAGGGGTGAGGCCAGCCTCCGGACAGAAGTGATAGGCTCCAGGCACAGTGGACAGGGGCCCCTGAGGGATGGATGACTCCAGCCTCCAGGAAGATGGAGAAGCAGACACCTCCCCCTTCCCCAAGTGATTCAGGAACTGGGACCAGGAGACAGCAGACCCGGCCTGGGAGCCAAGGCGCCCTTTGGCCACCTGACCCAGGGTTTGCAAGACTCCATCCTCCACGGGGTTCACAGGGCCACCATCTGAGCCTGCAAACCAGAGTGTCCCAGGACCCGGCTGGCCAGCTCCCAGAAGCTCTGAACTGTGTGAGCAGTAAATGGTTCCCAGTCGTCTCCTGTGCTGAGAAATCGTACCCTAACACAAGAAACCCGGTTGGCATCACTGTGGCCCAGGGTGCTGCTGATGCAAGGAGCTTCCCACTGTGGGCCCGCAGAAGGTTGGACCCCACTTGGCCTCCTCACCACCTCCAAGCAGGTGAGAATCCCAAGGGTGGAGGAAGGGGCGGGGCCGCGCAGGTACAGGGCTGCTGGAGGCATCTGGCTCGGGGACCTCACACACCGATGGCCTGGTCACTCAGCGTCCTCCTCTGTCCAGCGACCCCGTGGAACAGCCCCTGCCCCACCTGGACGCCCACAAAAGTTCTCTGAAACAACTAGATGCAGGACGGAGAAAGGACGGCCACACAGGTGCCCAGGTGTCACTCGGCACAGAGGTGCTCCATCTACGTGGCCCCTCAGACCGCACAGGAAGCACCTCGATGCCAAACACACTGATGCAAGGGCGAGAGCCTCAAGGAGAAGGACAGAACTGTGGTTCTGCAGCTGATGAGCTGGCCTCAACAAGTTCCCACACTTCCCTCTAGGACACAACTCTTGAATCTGCAAACAGAGAACTGCAGCCCCAAAAGAAAGAAGAAAGTGGAGAAAATCCCCAGATTGCCCGGAGTCCATGAGAACAGTCATGGCGGAAAACACCCTGGGTGCTGCTCAGACCCAGGGCTCAGGAAGTCCGTGGTCCTGAGGGGGCTCCCCTGGCCGTGGGGACAGAGCCCTCCACCTGAAGGGGCCACGGCCACTGCCAATGAGACCTCTGTCCTTCCGATTGAAGAGGCTGCGGTTTACGAGGGGGCCTCCCCGAGGCGAGCCCCTCTCCCAACACGGCCAGCTTCTGGAAGCCCCACCCAGAGGGCCTGTCCATCCAGGTAGAGTGCCCTGGCAGGACTGGCACTGCTACTCATCACCTTGAGATGGTCAAGAACAGTGATACCCAGCAGCGGGGAGGCGGAGGATGCCACCCCTGCTCCCACCCCTGGCTCGGGCGTGTTCAGAGCTGCTCTGGGGATGCGGACCTGGGCTTCTACCTCAAGGCTCCAGTTCAGCGGCTCCTGTCCTACAATGTGCGGTCAGGGCTGAGTGCCTGGTAAACAGTAACCAGTGAGGCTCACCTGTGGGGGTGCTACTCCCCAGCCTGAGCACAGACTCTGGGTAGCACATCTCCATAGCAACAGGATCTCCACCGCCTCTCTGTGGCCCAGAATGGATGGAGGGGCCCTTGACAGACCCAAGCTGAGGTTGGGACATAGCTCACCCACACGATGAGCCCCGGAGTGGTTCTGGGAGGCCGTGAGGCATGAGCTGAAACCTACTTCAAAAAGTCATTCTAAATCATCTGTCTCTCCTCAAAAGAGAAGTTAGCAAAAACGTCTGTTAATTCAGGTACCGAAGAGCAATACAGCAGTGAGGGGAATCCTGCTCTCATGGGGTAGACACATACACACACTTATAGACACATATGTACTTGTGGACACATACACACTCGTAGACACACACACACTAGTAGACACTTGTAGACATACATGCACTCATACACACACTTGCAGACACACATGAGCTCATAGACACACACACACACCCCTTACACCACATGCCTTGTGCATGCTCTCAGGGGTCAGTGGTCAGCACGGCCCAACCTGCTGCCCAGTTGAGAACCTGGAGCCAA